TTGAGTTCTTTTAGAACCCTTGGATGAATGCCATCCGATCCCGGTGATTTGTTAATGTTAAGTTTTTCTGTTTGTTCCAAAACCTCTTCTAATGACACTTCAATCCAGGACAGCTCCTCAGATTCATCACCCACAAAGGATGGTGCAGATTTGGGAATCTCCCTAACATCCTCAGCCATGAAGACTGAAGCAAAGAAATAATTTAGTTTCTCTGCAATGGCTTTATCATCCTTGATTGCTCCTTTTGTATCTCGATCATCGAGGGGACCCACTGGTTTTTTAGCAGGCTTCCTGCTTCTAATGTACTTAAAAAACATTTTGCAATTTCTTTTTGAGTTTTTTGGATAGCTGTTCCTCAAAATCTTTTTTTCCTTTTCTTATTACATTTTTACACTTATTTGACAGTGTTTATGTTCCTTTTTATTTATCTCAGTAGGATTGGATTTCCACTTCTTGGAATATGCCTTTTTGTCCCTCACTGCTTCTTTTACATGGTGGTTAAGCCACGGTGACTCTTTTTTAGGTCTCTTGCTATGTTTTTTAATTTGGGGTATACATTTAAGTTGGGCCTATATTATGGTGTCTTTAAAAAGTTTCCATGCAGTTTGCAGGGATTTGGCTCTAATCATTGTGCCTTTTAATTTCTGTTTAACTAACCTCCTCATTTTTGTATAGTTCCCCTTTTTGAAATTAAATGCCAGAGTGCTGGACTGCTGAGGTGTCCTTCCCACCACAGAAATGTTAAATGTCATTATATTATGGTCACTATTCCCAGGCGGTACTGTAACGGTTATCTCTTGGACCTGATCCTGTGCTCCACTCAGGACTAAATCGAGAATTGCCTCTCTCCCTGTGAGTTCCTGTACCAGCTGCTCCAAGAAGCAGTCATTTAAGCCATTGAGACATTTTATCTCTGTTTCTCTTCCTGAGGTGACATGTACCCAGTCAATATAGGGATAATTGAAATCCCCCATTATCATAGAGTTTTTTATTTTGGTAGCCTCTCTAATCTCGCTCAGCATTTCAATGTCAGTATCACTGTCCCGGTCAGGTGGTTGATAATATATCCCTACTGCTAAATTCTTATTATTGGAGCATGGAATTAGTATACATAGTGAATCTGTTGAACATGTTGATTCATTTAAGATTTTTATTTCATTTGATTCTACATTATCTTTCACATACAGTGCCACTCCGCCACCCACACGGCCTGCTCTATCCTTCTGATATATTTTATATCCTAGTAGTATTGTGTCCCACAGATTTTCCTCATTCCACCAGGTTTCAGTGATGCCTATTATGTCAATCTCCTCCTTTATTACGAGGTACTCTAGTTCACCCATCTTATTAGTCAGACTCCTAGCATTTGTGTAGAAGCACTTTAAAAAATTGCCACTTTTTATTCGTCTGCCCTTCCCTGATGTATTGGATTCCTTTATATGCAGTTGTTTGTCTGCTCTGGCCCATTTTTTGTCCTCTCCCCTCCTCTCTTTCTGACTACAGCCTACAGAATCTCTATCAATGGATTCTGATCTAAGAGAAGTCTCCATCCGATTTATGAGCTTCTCCGCACCAATCGGCTTTCCCCCATCTCTTAGTTTAAAAACTACTCTACGGTCTTTTTAACGTTTAGTGCCAGCAGTCTGGTTCCACCCTGGTTTAGGTGGAACCCATCCTTCCTGTATAGGCTCCCCCTCTTCCAAAAGTGTCCCCAGTTCCTAATAAATCTAAAACCCTCCTCCCTACACCATCGTCTCATCCACTCATTGAGACTCTGAAGCTCTGCCTGCCTGCCTGCCTGGCCCTGCACGTGGAACTGGAAGCATTTCCGAGAATGCCACCATAGAGGTCCTGGATTTCAGTCTCTTTCCTAGCAACCTAAATTTGGCCTCCGGGACATCTCTCCTACTCTTCCCTACATGTACCACGACCACTGGCTCCTCCCCAGGACTACACATAAGTGTATCTATATGGCTCAATAGATCCGCAACCTTCACACCAGGCAGGCAAGTGACCATACGGTTCTCCTGGTCATCACAAACCCAACTATCTATGTTTCTAATGATCGAATCACCCACTACTAACACCTTCCTCTTCCTAACAACTAGCGTTCCTTCCCCCTCAGAGGTATCTTTAGTGCAAGAGGATACCGCCTGGAACCTTTCCCGCAGGGCTTCTCGGATGCAGACTGTCCCCCGAAGGGCCTCCCGGCTGGCAGCCATGCGGGGCTGTGCATACTGGCCAGCCAGGCTGTCAGCCTCTGCCATCCAGGCTGGCAGGAAAGCCTCCCCCTTCCTCTCACATAAATTATGCAGCACATAGCATGCTGCCCCACGTGCGGAATATTGTGCTGGGAGAGGTCAAGGTGGGTGAGGAGGCACCTAAATTGTGCTTTCAGTCAGCCAAAGGCCCCCTCGACCACAATGCTGGCCCTGCTGAGCCTGGCATTGTAGGCCTGCCGGGAGGGGCTGAAGTGTCCCGTGTAAGGCTTCATCAGCCAGGGCTGTAGGGGGTAGGCTGCATCTCCCAGCAGGCACACTGGCATGTCCACGTCCCTGACCCTGATGTGGCAGTCGGGGAAGAAAGTCCTGGCGTGCAGCCTCTGGCACACAGAGGAGTTGCGGTACACCCGCACGTCGTGTGCCTTGCCGGACTAGCCTTCATTGATGTCCATGAACTGGCCCCAGTGGTCAAACACAGCCTGCAGGATCACAGAGAAGTACCCCTTCCTGTTGATGAAGAGGGAGGCCTGGTGATCCGGGGCATGGATGGGGATGTGCGTCCCATCGATTGTCCCCTACAGTTGGGGAAGCTGAAGTCACCGAACCCCTCGATGACTGTGTCCAGGTCGGCGAGGCGGATGACTCTGCGGAGCAGCACCCTGTTGATGGCCTGCACCACCTGCAGAGAGACACACAAAACAGAGGGTCACTGGGGGTGCCCGGGTGGCTGGGAGTGTTCGTTCCCCACCACTACCCCGCGCTTCACTCCCAGGAGCAACCCCCGCTGCAATCCTGGCTACCGCTGGCGGTCTGTAGCGTGGCCGGGACAGACCGAACCCTCCTGAGGAGGGCACTTACACCACCTCCCTCCCCCCTGTTTTCCCATGTCCTCCTTGCAGCCCCCACTCCTGGCCCAGTGGCCAGTGAGTGCCGTACCTGCATGAGCACTGCTCCGACGGTGGATCTCCCCATGCCAAACTGGTTCCCCACGGATCGGTAGCTATCTGGCATGGAGAATTTCCAGAGGGTGATGGCCACCCACTTGTGGAGGGGAATGGTGAGCCTCATGCGTGTGTCCCGTCGCCGCAGAGCAGGCGAGCCACTCGCAGAGCTCCAGGAAGGTGTCCTTCTTCTTCCTGAAGTTCTGGGTGCACTGTTGGTCTCCCCAGCACTCCAGGATGATGTGGTCCCACCAGTCGCTGCTGGTGTCAATGCGGCGGGGCACACTGGCATCTGGGTGCTGTTCCTCCAGGGCCTCCAGGGAGGTTAGGGGGAGGGCCAGGGGGCTGGCCTGCAGCAGAAGATGCCAAGCAGCCTCTAGCAATTGCTACTAGCCTTGCAGCAAGACATTTAACATGAGCACCAGAGTGCCCAGGGGCGGCTCTGGCTCCATGGTGCCGAGTGCTGCGGTGTCCCAAATGAGAGTGACCAAAGTAGGTGGAGAGAAAACACTTTGGTGTCCCTCGGCGAATTAGGCAATCAAGCGGGAAAGATAAGAGCGGGCTGTCCAGGGGGGGTCCCTTTAAGCATGAGCCTCAGATAGCCTCAGACAGCAGCCACACAAAGCAACTACTGCCTGATGCCAGTTTCAGCTGCCCTTAAATGTGATCCAGCGTCCAGTCAGTGTGGACGTGCTATTTCGAAATAACAAAACACTATTTCGAATTAGATTTTGTGTCTAGATGCGTTATTTCAATTTAGCTTATTTTGAATTAACTAATTAACTAAGGGTATGTAGTGTAGACATACCCTTAGTGTGGTAGCCCTTCCTAGAGCTTGAGATATGAATTTCCTCATCTAAAATACTCTCCAAATCCATGTCTATTAATACTATTCAAAAGGGCTAGTATGAGGAGGTGTCTAAATATATATTTTTCTGTAGGATCCAAACATGCATGAAGCATTTTTGCTTCTGTCTAGGCCTCATCCCAGAGAAGCTCTGAGCTCACTGTTTCCTAACTGGCCATGTCCTGGGGAGGGGAGGAGAGGGCTTAGGTGAGGACCTTTTCCATGCTTCTGCCTATTTGAAACTATTTGCTGGATTTGCATTTGTAGAAGAGGCTTTCGATCAGCATGTTCCCATAGGGGTCCTTCCTCAGCAGTTTTTAAAGAGGCTACCATCAAGAGGTTTGCTCATCTTAATAGGCTCTTCATGGTCATCTTCTCCTCTTGCCACTTTACCCTAGTTCATCTCCTTAAATTCTCCTTTGTTACTCCTTCCATCCCTGGTAGCTTGAGCCATTAATCATTCATTAATGGTAGCATCAGCATCACAAGAAAAACAAAATGTTCTTACCTTGATAGACAACCACAAATGGCCCAGTCTGAGACCAAGTGACTAGCTTAGATGATGATCATGTACTCCAGCTACATTGGTCATTAACAAGAAATGCCTTCTTGCACCCTCAGATGAGGAAGAACTAGATAAAAAATTCTAATACCTACTGGCTGAAAGATGAGGACACAAGCATTCATCATACCAATAATGTTACATCATGGAAAAGAATAAGACTTGTTTTTGTAGGAGGCAAGATTACTTTAAATATAAATATGCTTGTGATACAGTGCATACAGTACAAGAACATTAACATATAAATCTATTTGTAAATGTGAGGAGGTGAGAAAACATGGGATCTTCTTCATAGCATCCAGTTATAAAACAAATTATGAAAGAAACTCTAGTAACTCTAATAGTGCCCAATAGTAATAAAGGCTGCAGGTCATAAAACGGGGAGGTTACATAAACTTGATTAATCATGCTAACAAACTAGAACCATAGTGTGTAATCAGCAGAAGTTGTATTGCGCAAAACTGAAAGGACAAACTGCAGATTAATAATCTAATCTCTCACAAATCTTGGAATGGTGAATTCTTCTTGGAATTCTTTCATTCTTCAGATGCCATTCTGAGAAGATTCTCTTTGTCAAATCTGAAGAGATGCCAGCCCTCTTCAGTAGAAAGGTCTAAAGCGCCACGTCTTACATAGTACTCTATAGATGGCTTGTTCCAAATGACTACAAGGAAATGCATGCAGCTACAGTTTGTTTTGATTGCTATCTGTTGAAAAGTAAACATGCTGGATTACTTGCAAAGCATTATTTCCTCGGTACTGGTTTGGATACTTATCTACAAATAGAAACATCGATGAAAAGGGCCAGTGGTTCCATTGCAAAAGGCCACTGCACACATAATAGAAGCCAGAGCAATTCATGTCCTCTTAACAAGCTAGTCCCTTTTTGCACATTATATAGTGGTGAACTCAAGAAAACAGTATAAATTTGAGCCAAAATTCTGTGTAGAGATGCCTTGTCCTCTTTTGGCATTGTGACATTCAAAGAGCCAACAAGCCAGTAGTGCTAGATTAGATCCACTCTTAGGCTACGTCTACACTGTAGGCTTTTTGCGCAAGAACTGTTTTGTGCAAGAGTTCTTGTGCAAAAGGTCTTCCACAAGAGTGCGTCCACACTGCCATGTGCTTTTGTGCAAGAGTGTAGACGCTCTCTTGCGCAAGAAAGCTCTGATGGCCATTTTAGCCATAGGGGTTTCTTGCGCAAGAAATTCATGTTGCCTGTCTACACTTAAATTACAATTAAATTGAGGGGGGAAAGGCTATGTAACTAGTCTATAGTCCAATTCCTGAAAATGCTGCAAAATACTAGTATATGTGATAGGCAGAGTGAGATTGCCAGGTGGCCAGGGATGGTGACTGGAAAGGTATGTTTACACAACAGCTGGCAGCAAGCCTCTTAGTCTGGAGAGACAGACTTGTATTATCAGGGTCCATGCTACTGTGCTAAAAATAGTGTTGCTGTGCTGATGGAGGCTCAGGCTCGTCATTTGACCTCTGGTGGCTAGCCCATGTTTCTGTCAACACTGCAACTTTCACATAGCTACCTTTAGCACAGTAGTGCAAGTCCCACTAGCACAAGCATGTCTACCCAGGCTGGGAGGATTGTTCCGAGCTATAGTGTAGACATATCCCAACATAAGCCTTGGAATGCATCTGCACCTGTTACTGCAATATGAAGGCTGCACATTCTCTGACTAAGTATTCTCTAGTTCTGCACCCTAAGTCCTTGGAACACAATAAATAGAGATGCCTTGAAGGGCTTCTTGTATTCCAGCATAATCACACAAACTCTGCTGCTTGCAAAGAGCAACATTTTTCCCCTAATTTTTTTAAAGTAAGTTTGAAATCCAAAGAATTATTTAGTGTGTTCCTGAAGAGCGACTACAGGGTATATAACAATATGAAATTGAGCACAGAGAAACTTAAGCGAACTATCATAAGGATTGTCCTAACTGAACTCTGAGAGTCTATTAAGTAAGATGAAAATCTCCCTGTAGAAAGTGTAGAAGTCCTACTACTTTAGGACTTCTACATCCATTTACCACTGGACCGAACAAAAAAAAAAGCACTTGATAAAATTTTGCTGGGATCAGATTTGCACTGACAGGGAAAGAAATCTATATGAAAACAAATCTACATGGGTACGTCTACACTACAGCGCTAATTCGAACTAACTTAGTTCGAATTAGATAATTCGAACTAAGCTAATTCGAACTAACGCGTCTAGAACTAAAAACTAGTTCGAATTAGCGTTTTGCTAATTCGAACTAGCAAGTCCACATTGAGTGGACTCTGAACAGGGCTTAAGGATGGCCGGAAGCAGTGCCGGCAGGGCATCAGAGGAGGACTTAGAGCGTGGAGATGCTGTCTCAGGCTAGCCGAGGGCTGCGCTTAAAGGGTCCCGACCCCCACCCCAGACAGACAGTTCTCAGGGGTGCCCCGCTTATTAGCGTTTTGCTAATTCGAACTAGCAAGTCCACATTGAGTGGACTCTGAACAGGGCTTAAGGATGGCCGGAAGCAGTGCCGGCAGGGCATCAGAGGAGGACTTAGAGCGTGGAGATGCTGTCTCAGGCTAGCCGAGGGCTGCGCTTAAAGGGTCCCGACCCCCACCCCAGACAGACAGTTCTCAGGGGTGCCCCGCTTGAAAACCAGTCCTGGCTTGGATTGCCCGGAGTACCCACACTGGGCACATCATACCACTCGGCCATCAGCCCGGCTGCACTTGCCGCAGGCTGCCATCTGGGGAGAGGGGGCAATCGGGGGGCTGCAGGAGAGCTTCCACCCCCAGAAGCCCGCAGAGCCAGCCCAGTCCTCCCCATCGGGGGCTCGTACCCCATTCCTCCCTCACCTCCTTCCACTTACCCTTCCCTAGCCCCCCTTCTTATTGATGTACAAAATAAAGATAACGTTTCTTCCAACATTGACTCTGTCTTTATTGAACAAAACTGGGGGAGACTGGGAAAAGGAGGTGGGAGAAGGGAAGAGAAAGGCTGGGAGAGGGGAGGGCAACTAACATGATCAGGGGTTGGGAACAGGCCCCAGATGAAGAGAGGCTACAGAGACTGGGACTGTTCAGCTTAGAAAAGAGGAGACGGAGAGGGGACAGGATAGAGGTCTCTAAAAGCAGGGGTTGGGTGGAGAGGGTGCATTCAGAAAAGTTCTTCATGAGTTCCCATAAAGAAGGACTAGAGGATACCAAAGGAAAGGAATGGGTAGCAGGCTT